GGTGTGGGGTGTGTGGTGTGGAGTGTGTGGTGTGGGGTGTGTGGTGTGGGGTGTGTGGTGTGGGGTGTGTGGTGTGGAGTGTGTGGTGTGGAGTGGTATGGAGTGTGTGGTGTGGAGTGTGTGGTGTGGGGTGTGTGGTGTGGGGTGTGTGGTGTGGAGTGTGTGGTGTGGAGTGTGGGGTATGTGGTGTGGGGTGTGTGGTGTGGAGTGTGTGGTGTGGGGTGTGGTGTGGGGTGTGTGGTGTGGGGTGTGTGGTGTGGAGTGTGTGGTGTAGAGTGGTATGGAGTGTGTGGTGTGGAGTGTGTGGTGTGGAGTGTGTGGTGTGGAGTGTGTGGTGTGGAATGTGTGGTGTGGAGTGTGTGGTGTGGAATGTGTGGTGTGGAGCATGTGGGGTACAGTGTGTGGTGTGGAGTGTGTGGTGTGGAGTGTGTGGTGTGGAGTGTGTGGTGTGGAGTGTGTGGTGTGGAGTGTGTGGTGTGGAATGTGTGGTGTGGAGCATGTGGGGTACAGTGTGTGGTGTGGAGTGTGTGGTGTGGAGTGTGTGGTGTGGAGTGTGTGGTGTGGAATGTGTGGTATGGAGCATGTGGGGTACAGTGTGTGGTGTGGAGTGTGTGGTGAGTTTGTGGTGTGGAGTGTGTGGTGTGGAGTGTGTGGTGTGGAATGTGTGGTGTGGAGTGTGTGGTGTGGAATGTGTGGTGTGGTGTGGAGTGTGTGGTGTGGAATGTGTGGTGTGGAGCATGTGGGGTACAGTGTGTGGTGTGGAGTGTGTGGTGTGGAGTGTGTGGTGTGGTACAGTGTGTGGTGTGGAGTGTGTGGTGTGGAGTGTGTGGTGTGGAGTGTGTGGTGTGGAGTGTGTGGTGTGAAGTGTGTGGTGTGGAGTGTGTGGTGTGGAATGTGTGGTGTGGAGTGTGTGGTGTGGAATGTATGGTGTGGAGCATGTGGGGTACAGTGTGTGGTGTGGAGTGTATGGGATGTGCTGTGTGGTATGGAGTGTGTGGTGAGTTTGTGGTATGGTGTGGAATGTGTGCGATGCGCTGTGTGGTGTGGAGTGTGTGGCACGCAGCATGTGGTGTGCCGTGTGGAGTGGCCTCTGTATCTGACAAGTTGACTCAACTCCTGGAAGATAGGGACTGTGCCCCACATGTCCAGCCACCCCCACCCGCCTCCTTCAGCCTCTCACTCAGACAGGAGATGAAGGCTGCTGGCTGACTACCCAGCTGTGCACCTCTGCTGCTGCAGTCAGGCTTACCTGGATCAGGCCTGCCAGCAGGTAGAGCACCACAAAGGTCTGGCTGTTTATGACTGACTGACCCTGCACCAGATAGATGATGTAGAAGAAAATCAGATGGCCTGGGACCACCAGCATGAGCAGGACTCGAGCTGACATGGAATTGATTTCTGAAAGAAACAGAACCAAGAAGGTCATGTGACCTGAAGCGAGGCCACTTTGGCATGTGACAGTCCTCAGTGAGGCATCCACACTCACTCATCCATTTATTCCCAAGTGTTCAGTGGACACCTGCTCTGTGGCAAGCATGTTCTGGCAGATGGGGATACAGTCTGTCCCCTTCCCTCGTGGAGCTGATATTTTAGAGAAGAGAAACAAGAATCAAGTAAGCAGAAATAAAAAGCAGCAAGAAAGGCTACTTCAAATTCTGACAAGTACTTTGAAGAAAGTAAGGGTAAAAAGAAGGGCAAAAAGCAGGAAGTGTGTATCAGTGGGGATGAGCTCCTGCAGATATTTCAGCTGGGATTTGAATGTGGCGGGGAGGAGTTTGAGCAGACAAGAGCGAACATGCAAGGGGCTTAAGGAGGAAAAGAGCTTTGGGTGCGGTGCTCCACTCAATGCAGTGCTGGTGATCTGGGGAGGGCAGTCGGCTCAAACGGGGACCTCGGGCAGCCCCTTCTTCACAGCAGCCTCTGTGGCCTGTCAG